AAGTTGTATCAGTATCGTCTTTGTTGTCCAACTCGTGTCGCCATCTGTTGTCATAATGGTATATTAGAGATAAGCATGACATTATGACAACAGATGGCGCTCTAAATTTCTGAAGTTTTTCCTTTACTAGATATAATTTATGCTCCCCACGGAGCTTCACGGTATTTAGTTTGTGTTTATACACTTTGTGACTTTTTCAGTACCCTTACTAATATGTATGTTATCAACGAAGTTTTAATCGTTCTCTAAATCCACGTGCTTTCTGGAAAATCTAAGTGATTTATATAGCACCTTACGAAAACAAAAACGCATACACTACAGCAAGGTTGTCCATCACCACCAGTTTTATCGCACTTGCTTTCATCGTTTAATAAAATTACTTCTTAGTTATATCTGTCATTACTTTGGAAACATTAGTTATTTAGCAAAGTAAGGATCAAAAATGATAATGATGTTCCCTCGAACTCTTCGTAACGAGCTTAAATCAGACTATCCCTGGTTGTAAGGATCGTATTGTACCTTACCCATTTCAACGCACGTCACAGACGTCTATCTTTTCCTGTGATACTACTGTACATAGGCTCCGGCAAAACTAATATATTTCAGAGCAGCATCAATAGCACATAAAAATGTTTATTGGCAAAATGAAATTGTAAAAATTAGAAATATGATTAGAAATATTATATTTAGTGTACAATTGTCTTCCAATACTTAATTTGCATTGTTGATGTACAGAACTTTAACCTTTAAATGTATTTATAAAGAAAATCTTCAAAAAAATTAAACAACAAAAACTTACAAATTTACAGCCTTACAACTGGTTTGCATTTTTTAAAACTTTTGTCTCCAAAAGTGGGACAAAAGACAATGCTATATGAGGTTTTACATTTACTTAATGCAAACCAATTAAAAATAATAAATTGGTTCAAGAATATGAAAATATAAATATAGCACTTTATGGTTATAATTATTCAGCTGCACTTTGTCACATTTATTTTTTTTTAAACAAAAACATTAAAAGAAATTTTTAAATGTGAATTTAGTGACGCATGAATCCGACTTATTAAATGTGCTTCTCCTTGCAATTCAAAAAGTAGTTTAGTGAATTATATTTGATCAGAGAGCAAGAGAGAGAGAGAGAGAGAGAGAGAGAGAGAGAGAGAGAGAGAGAGAGAGAGAGAGAGAGAGAGAGAGAGAGAGAGAGAGAGAGAGAGAGAGAGAGATGCATATTTCATTAAGTTATTGCAATTGTATACATGTATCCTGGGTCAAAGAGTGTATTTTGGGACAATCTTAGGGTCTTTCATTCAGCAAGTATCAACAAAGGAAAAACAATCTACTGATCTCACTCGATAATTATACTGGGTAGAATTTTACTGATCACTGATTTTCTATCTAATTTGGTTTTTATTTTATTTAATTTAATTTATGTATGTTCTATGCCGCGCTCATTTTAAGTCACGTGACTTCGCTACACGCAGAAGTGACTAATATTATGATAAACATTAACCGTTTACGCGCACCACTAGACTTAAACATGCGTTCATTAATATGAGCCGTATACGCGCACCACTAGACTTAAACATGCGTTCATTAATATTAGCCATATACGCGCACCACTAGACTTAAACATGCGTTCATTAATATGAGCCGTATACGCGCACCACTAGACTTAAACATGCGTTCATTAATATTAGCCGTATACGCGCACCACTAGACTTAAACATGCGTTCATTAATATTAGCCGTATATGCGCATCACTAGACTTAAACATGCGTTCATTAATATTAGCCGTATAAGCGCTATTTGTGTAAATGACAACACCAATAGGTAAAACATATTCACTATACAATATAAACAACATATTTAAAAATAAAAAGTGCTTAGATATTATGTTTAGGCAAATTAATTGCATAGTTGATGGAAGAAGAAAGATAATGGATATGCGATGACCAGTACAATGCAAATGTATGACTATTTTACCTTTGACCCGTATAAAACCTGTTCTGAATTATAAGTACGTCTTCCACGTTTAAAGCCCTAAATTGAAGGCTGAATAGGGTGAGTGTTATCTAATATTCCACGGCGAATAAAATGTGCACTTCTGTTAAAATTATCTCGGGTATTTTTTTTCATGAATCTATTTTTCGATAAGGTTTGTGCGCTTAGTCATTATTTCGACTTAAATAATTGAATTCCGACGTTTGTTTTCTATTTATAAGTTTTTGAAGTAAACATTTATTCAGCATATAACTTCTGTACAGCCTATTCTCCAAGAGAATTCCTAACCAACATGTGTACTGGAAATCACCCTAAATACGTTTTATTACCCGTTGATCGGAACTTTCATATATTAACCTCGCCATCCAATTGTTTGGGTTTTTTGTGGATGGTGATGTTTGTTTGTATGGGCATTTTGTAGGATTTTTTCTTGGGGGGGGGGAGTGCGGGGTTGTTTTTTTTAACGCTCGTTAATCCTGACCACATTTCAGTCAACAGATACACATCATACCTTCTTTTGCGGCGGTACATAATAACCTTACATTGCAGCTGTGCCGTAAAATTCCAATCATTCGATCAAAGAAATCAACTGAATGCCGAACAGTCATTCGTAGGATAGGCTACGTAAGTTCAGACATGCATTCATATGGCAGTTTATAAGATGTCTAGCACTAGGGCACCATGCCGCAAACATGTATCATCATGTTCAACACAGTCACATTATCCAGAAAAATAGTCCAAACACTAACTTCTTAATGCTGAGAGCCAAGCGAGGCAGCTAAAAGACTATATTTTTAGAAGTCTTTCGTACGACTTGGCCTGGGTTCGAACTCGCGACCTACCGCATCTGAGGCAGACACTCTAAAGATTATTTTTCAATAAAACGTAAAACCATTACTGTAGCATTGTTTTTTTTAGCTCACTCTGGTTCATCGATTGATAACGATTGGCTATTTCCAATGTCTTTTTCGACCCACGTGTTACCCATGTGTAAACAGGTTTTTCTTTTTTAAATTTTTCATTTCTAGCGTGAGAATCTGCTTTCATGGAGAGGGCTGATTTTGCTACGTGAAAATAGCATTTTTTATTGCGATGTTCAGGTTGGAAATCACGTAGATTGTCACGTGAGATACCATGTGATCTAATATCAGGCTTAAAACAGCAAATTGGTATTAAATTAGTTAAGTTGTAGAAAAGAACCTTAGGAATTCATAAGTATATTATTATTATTTTGAGTTTTTATTTATTTAAGAATAATTTATACTCTCTGGAAAATAAGCGTCTTCTCGTCAAAGTTTTGAACGAAGACATTCAGTGGAAATTATATGAAATTCTAAGGCCGGAATAATATTCTTGATTCACAAAATTCAATGACGAAATGTCATTGGTACAAACACGTCATATGACGTCATCGATTCCATACTTTAACTTCATCGAGATTCAAACCCGGATTCAATAAGAACTGTTTAGCGATAGGATTTCTATTTTCAAATTCTAGGATTAATTTAAGGCTCTTTTTCACAAACCTTATTCTTCTAATTTTACATTGTTCTTACGGGAAATAGATTATTTAGTTAACATTTACAAAGCTTGTTCGATTTACTCTTTCCTTTTGTTACATTTCTACGAACCTACACGTAACTATATATATATATATATATATATATATATATATATATATATATATATATCTATATATATATATATATATATATATATATATATATATACGCGCGCGCACGTTTTGAGTATATAATACGGTATCATATGAGATACCACTCAGAAAATGCGATGAACAGGTTCATGAATTTCAATTTATATTGATATGTACGAGACTATTTCATGGTCTGTCATTGGTAAGAGATGAGATTCTTCCAAAGACTTCAATGGCCAGAGATGCTTATGGAATTTCCATCACGTGGTGACTTATTATGTTAATTACAACCAAAAATTGCAACATGCTGTTAACTATTACCAATCTGAACTCTCTCTATAAGGGAGGAAGAAGGTAGTGAACACTTCGCAACTATGTTCTTTCTATGGTGCTTGTTTATCTAAATGCACTCAGTTTCAGATTAAAAATATATATTATACACGGAGGCAAATGCTGGTTCTTGTACTAAATATAGAGTGAGACTGTACCCAACAGAGCTTATCTTGTTTTTAAAAATGACGTTGGTAAATATTTCTCCGTGAGAACGTTTGAAGGATTTGCGATTTTTTAATACGATATAAAACATTTGCCTCATCAAATAATTTATTACTGTGGAAATGTATGCTTATTTACGGAAGCCCATTAAAGCCATATCACATCCGTAAAAACAAATATATTGCGAATAAACCCAGTATTTACTGCAAATATTCTTTACACACTGCGAATATTCATAATACGTTGCTAATATTCGCAATACTATTGCGAATAAACGCAATACGTTATTCACAATAGTATTGCGTTTATTCGCAATGCCTTGCTAATATTCGATATATATGTATATATATATATATATATGTATGTATGTATATATATATATATATGTATGTATATATATATATATATATATGTATGTATATATATATATATATATATGTATGTATATATATATATATATATGTATGTATATATATATATATTTATATATATATATGTCTATATGTATATATATATATGTATATATATATATATATATATATATGTATATATATATATATATATATATATATATATATATATTTGTCACTAATGGGATTCCGTTAAGACAAAAATATTCATTTGTATAACTTTATTTTGAATAAAGTTGGAATCCCCGAACTTTTTGAATTTTCTTAACTTCGATCCTTGAAGTAAACTGTTAAATTTCAGCGTCTTAGATATGCTCCAGATACTATAACTGTTCCATAGTCTCGAAACGCCTTTAGCAAGTCCTGTGCCAGAGTCTATAACTTCAATTAAACTATAGTTTCAATCACGTAAATTTCATAATCATTTTAACCTCAGATTCGACCACTCTGGTGGCCTAAATGGTTAGATCATCCGCCTCGGATGCAGGAGGTCACGGGTTCGAACCCCGGGCGGGCCATACCAACGACATAACAAATGATACATAGCTGCCTTGCCTTGCGCTCAGCATTAAGAAGTTTGTGTTAGGACTGGTCGGTCTGGTGTAAGAATAATGTGACTGGGTAGTTCATGATTCCATATGTTTACGACAAGATGCCCCAGTGCAAGACATCGCTATAAACTGTCACATTGCAGACATCAAAAGCGATATGACTAAAATTGTTAAAGCTAAATTAAAACTCTAAATGTGGTTTGAATTGTTCGTAATTTTGATGCTATACAAAATAGTTCACATGATGCTGGGTCTCATTTTAGGAACAATGAGCGGAACCTTGGATTGTGCGCTCAGAATGTTTAGAGTTTAGCTCGCCAATACATATCTATCACTGACACGTCACCCTTGCCCGAATTGGTTCGAGTCTCGGCAAGTCCAACGTCTGTATGTGAGAATACTGGCAGGCATTTAGAGTTTATCATGTGTTGAAAAATAGCGCAAAACCCCAAAACAAACAAAGACTTGTACTGATAAAGTTACTAATCTACACCGATAATTAATAAACATAATAACAATTATTTCCTTAAGGCTGAATTAACTGGCGAATTTTGCTGGCTATGGCCTTCACATGTATTATCAGAACTATCGCCATTTTGGTACGAGCTATAACTTCGTGATGTCTTTCGAGATTTTGACCTCTACGCCCCCTCGGCTATACATCATGCTAACATCCTGTTAGTGTAGTGTGTTAGTATGGAGCAGATGCTGATGACTATGTGCAGATATGTGCTGAAGCACGAAGAATTAAACTGAGCCCCAATTTACATCCTCACAAAAGAAAGCAAACCATTGATTATCGTTACTTTTATAGGCTGAATAAATAAATAAATAAATTTGTTCTAATCGTTCAACTAATTTCATGACTTAAAGGAAAATCAAGTTGAGGTTAGAATACAGTAAATTGGTGGCTGGGGAGTTTCTAGAGAAAGATCTGGGGAGCAGTCAACGGAATCCCATAATGCAACACTTTCCTTGTCTTTTCGGTTATTGATATTGCAATGTGCAAAATATGTCGTTTCAACTGAGTATATATTTTCTTGTTTGATGTTATTATAATTATTATAATAATTATATAATTATTTGATTGCTTTCAGTTAGCAAGAAATATGGTCTAATGTGCATCAATGTGCATAACGACACACCTTGATCTATCGAACTGAAATCAGTTGTTGTTCTCCGTGAACTTTCTTGTATAAAGACTTTTATTAATTCATAAAGCTTTTCTTATCACAATTATCTTGAATTTCAAGGAGAATCTCTCTTGACACTGAAAGATTCATGCCGAGTTACAATCTGGTAAAAGTTTTTAGTAATTGATTTGCCGTTCAAAAATGTGGCTAATCTTAATGCCAAAACGTGACCTTCAAGTTGGTCGGCATGATAATGTCCAGTACTAGATATTGTATTATATCGTCCTATTGAGCGGCTACGGCACTGAGTGAATTATTTTCTAGTTAATAACCTTTTAGACCACCACGGCTATTTCAGCGAGAAAAAAAATATGCATCAATCTAAGTGAGCGCAGTAATTTTACAGATTGTTTGCAGGAAATTTCTCCAAAAAAATCGTGATCTTTACGGAGAGGATTGTCCGAAGATTTGCTAATGAAAAAGGCATTCCATCAATAAGCAACATCTATGTTAATCCTTGTTTCGTAAATAACCGAGGTGATCCAAATGGCAGCTAATGACAGCTTTCAGAAGACTTTCCAGATATGAACGAAGTCGCGAAAGGTTAATAATGTGATAAAATGTCCTTGAAATCGTTCTAATGGATCGGACGCGTGTTGCATTCTATTTATCGCCGTCTGTCAAGTTATCCTATTTATGTAGATGTAATATATCTTTTCTTCTTCTTCAACACATATTTTTTAATGGAAGACAGTTTTGTTGCATGAAGAATAAGCGTTATGGAGATACTTAATAATTTACATGCTATCGAATTTAGGAGACATGTGTATCCATGACAGAAATTGATTGCTGTATAAATAATGTGCAACGACATGTTACAATTAGATTAGAATGATATCTGTATTTAATAAGGTAAAAATCTTGAATAATGTTTAGCTATGGAGTTTTCCCATAAAATGGATTGATGGAAGAATCACAAGAACGGTTCTTTTAAAGAAGCACCCATCTGAAAATTCTCACAAATTTTACATTGCGCAATTTCTTCTTCTTATTTTCTATTCAAAAGTGTGGGAAAATATTTTAAATTAATCTTGTTTTTGATTTTTTTTTCAAAATGCTGAACTCTGCGTTTAAAGAAGGTCAGATTTCAACGTACATGAGGTTTCCCCGTCCAAAAATAGAGCTTGAATACACGTAATATGATCAAGTTATTAATTCGCACGTGGCAAGTGGATGGGCAACGTGAGAGCACGTTATGCTTCTCATTAATTTTAATAAAATACTATCTACTGCTGGAGACGTTACTATCAAAGATATAGCAAATTATTGCCCGTTTTAAATCAGTTTTATATGCAGTTTTAGATGATAAGATGAAATAAACCATTTGTTCTCAGTATTATATTGAGTGAATGTTTATGTTGTAACTCTCTCTCTCTCTCTCTCTCTCTCTCTCTCTCTCTCTCTCTCTCTCTCTCTCTCTCTCTCTCTCTCTCTCTCTCTCTCTCTCTCTCTCTCTCTCCAGAATGTTTAGCGGAAAAGAGGTATTGTTTTACAAATCAAAAAGATAAGTGTCTAACACATTGCCAGTGTATCAGTTTTTGTGAAGTAATTGTAGTAGGATGCTATCCATTAATACTTAATCTGCAAGATAAAGTCATGGAAAATTTTCTTCCCTAAACAAAAGTAAAACGCATACCTTTCTATCAAATATTACGCCCATGTCCTCTCCATCCATGTTTAAAAGCTTTCTGAGGCAAATTAAAGAGCAAAAATTTAAAATTTGCCCAGTTTTCGATTTTAAACTCTTTATTTCTTAAAAATTATTAAGCAAGTCATACATTTTGGGACAGGATAAAGGCTGATATAAAAATCTAGGTCATGACGTAAAATTATATTTAGATTGGTTATAAAGTGCAACAAAAATTTATTTTTCTGGTTTCATTTACGTCACAAATTAATTAATTTATCTTCTTCTCGAAGCCCAAACTAATAAACGCATTAAAATTTATGGAAATGGTGTAAACAAAGATTCATTAGTTGTGCCAGCTTGTTGTGTTGTTCGCAATTCTTGTATCTTACAAATTGAATGTGGTATATTATATGGATGCAGTTGTACCTGCTTCACCTCCTCTTACTATTTTTGTCCAAGACTAGGTTGAACTATTGAACTAGAGTTACTAGTGATAACTATCATTATTTATTGACGTGGCCAACAGAATATAGGTCACAATTATTTATGGGCGTGGCCAACAGAATATAGGTCACAATAATCAATATTTTAGATCTCACGTAACTGATTTTCAATATGCTCTTGACATCTGGAAGTAATAGGTCAATCGGTATTATAATTTGAGTACAGACACCAATTTTATGAAGAGTTAACGATCCGTCATAGTGACCCAATCTTATGGTGATAAATTATCTTTCTATGATGCTTTGTTACTGCACTGTTTATACTAATATGTGTTTTACTTTGCTTCAATTGTTGCATGCAATCTTAAGTAACTGATAAAGAATTATAAGGAGTCAGCCCATTTATGTACTCAACAGTAAGTCATACTGTAGTGACCCAATGTTGGTGAATGTCGCATATCCACCCGATCCCGAAATAAAACAAAAACGGCGCGCTTAATATCAGTAGATACAATGCTATAGCAATGAAGATCGAACAGGAAGGATGGGTGCATGAATTAAAGTAAATTTGACATATCATGAAAAATTAAATGGTAGAATTCATATTTCAATAAAACATTCCTATCCGAAGTTACACTCTCAGAAGTTTGGTTACAATTGACAAGTTATTATCATTATAGCATGGATAAGAATATCAGCAATTGTTAATAAAGTTAGATACAAAGATTAGCATTTTGTGTGTATTCATCCCAGTATGCAAACACACACACACACACACACACACACACACACACACACACACACACACACACACACACACCCCACTGCAAAAAAAACCCAAAACATACGGAAGCTTTTATTCAATAAACAGGTGTCCATGGTGGCCGATTGCTCTAAAGAGCTTGCCTTTACCGATCAGTACCATCTTATCTCACTTATGTCGGTCGGGGTTCGAGTCTCATGCTTCGCAAATGTGTGCATGTGCGAAAATGTGCAAGTAGTTTTTATCCATGGGTTGGTGGTTCTTAATGGGGTTTTCCCGGGATCTTCCCCAAAAGTTGTACCATGTCTAACCTATCATGAGCTGAGTAATAGCGTTAAACCTAAAACAACACAACCACCAACAAGAAAATTATACAAGCATATATGCACACCGGCTCCACACTTTCTTCAAGTAACAAGTGTACATTATTATTTGTATAGTTTTAGAACTGGATGAATGCTTAGATAAATGCGGACAAAGTTCACTTCCTCCAGGTCCAGTTGGCGGGGCCAAAGTTCTTTACCCACCAAAAGAATTGAGGAGAATAGTTGCATACCCCGCAGAGGAAATAAAGCTACCTCCTCTCCGCAATGACAATCAGGCTACTTTCTCTCCGAAATGGCAATAAGACCAATTCCCCTCTGCCCCGAAAAGAGGTGAAAATATTGTAATGACTTTACCCAAAAAGTTTCATGGAGGATTCAAGCCTCTTGCCTCAGCCGCCTGGTGCAGATGGGACAATATTTTCATACACTGACACATTAACGGGAAATTGCGATTTCAAGTCATTTGTCTAGAGACATTATTCGACATCACCAAATGGTCTGGAAATATATTTTATGCTACACTGCACCCCAGCTTGAAGTTTACCATTTCATGAGCAAGGAAAAAAAAAACAGAACTAAATTTCGCCGTTCCGTTGCGTCTGCGAAAAAGTA